AAATTGTTGAATCATTCAAATTGTTTAGTTACTTTAGTAAATCCCTTTGAGGCTTACATTGTTCGACCTCTTCAGTCTTGCTTGTATTTTAGCCATTAACTGCTCAACATAAAAATGGAAAAAATAACATTGGCTCATTTTTCTATTAGAAATATTGCTGGGAAAGAGAAGTAATTACAATGAAGGTTTTGCAGTTACTTAATTGTTTACTAAAATATTTTCAAAGATGTTAGTATGTGATTTAGATTTTAGTTAGGAAATTATATTTCTTTTATGTATTTGGTCCAGAAATTCTTACTATATTAGCTAAGTATCACTACTGTTTTTAAAAAAGAAAACTTTGGAATTTGAGGTTTATGATGACATCTAATTGATTTACAGGTACATTTGAATGTGTTTAGTCTGTGTAAATTTTGTAAATGGGGCTTGTGTAGCCTGCTTAGCGACTTGGTGCATCTAATTTAAGACTCTACAATGTGAAGGACCATGAAGCTACCCTGGAATTGACTCTGTGCTCCTACCAATTCCCTGCATTTATTCTAGTGGTTACTCTTTTAATTATGTGAGTTAGTGCCTATGAGTATCTTTCTGTAAAAGAGTCAGATTGCTAAGAGTAGACAAATCTCTCTAAACATTAGCTGAGCTCAGATAATTAATGTTAAAAAGAATTATCAACTATATGCTATGAAGCCAGAATAAGATTTTTCACACCATAGAGCACTACTGACATCTAGTGGCAGTGAACATGAAATCTGATACAATGCATATATTTTGGGGATGGACCTTTAAGCTGTATCACAGAAAAGTAACCTGTTGGTGGAAATAATAAACCTATCTCAGGATTTTAGATTCATGAAAACGACCATGGTGAGATATCAGAAAGCATAAGCCTTACCTATTTTTAAGACCTTTCCTGAATGGCACTGAAAAAAACTAAGATTTGGTCTTGGTTTTCTCTGGAAATAATCAATACATTTAACCTCACTTCTAAGACTTAGTTTGTACTGAGGCATGTTAAATTTTGGGAGAATGTATAAATAATCACTTTAAGTTTTTCAAGTTTGTATTTTGGGGGCCAGTCTGACATGTATTTATCATACTGACAAGTTTTTTTGCCCTAGAATAAAGGTGATTACACCTTTTTCCTTTTGCCAATGTAAAGATAATTTTACAGAGTACTGCAGCTGCATTAGTTGGGCTTTTAAGATGCAGTTAATAGTAAATGGTGTTTTTAGTTTTCACCTGTAGTTTGAAAGTTCTTTTTTGAAGACTTCAGTGCTTGACAGTTCATGGAAAACTAACTTAATGTTATCTTATTAATCGGGGTCTGTCTGCTAAAACTTATGTGACTTTCTTGATTAACACTTCTTTTGAAACACTTTTCTTCTTTCTCTTTCAGTCTTGGTCTTTGTAATGGGAAAAGAAGGGGTCCATGGAGGCGGATTGAATAAGAAGGCATACTCAATGGCAAAATACTTGAGAGACTCTGGGTTCTAGCTGCTAGGCAGACTGTTAAGTATTAGGGGAAAATTGCTCTTAAACTTTCCTAGCTGTAAGCTTGAGTCTTAATTCTGGAAATTTTATTAGCAATGCAGGGTGATGGGGTATGAATCTGTGTCTCCTTTGTATCCCTCTATTGGTGGGGAAAGGTGTCTTTCTTTCTGCTCCCTCCCCTCCCCCCCTTAAATAATTCTGTTCACTTTTGTTTTGTTTCCTTGTGTACTCCAGCATTGGTTATAGTCATGGGAAAGGAAGGTGTCCACGGAGGCACACTTAACAAGAAAGCATATGAACTCGCTTTATACCTGAGGAGGTCTGATGTGTAAGCAGCCTCTCCCCATCTACCTAGCAACTGTCTTCATCACCACCCCAATTACGGTCACAGTGCTACCAGACTATAGGTGGTAGCTAATTTTTCTAATTTCTTTACCTTTTTTCTAATGTCATGCTTCCTGTTTGCCCAATGGATCATTTGTATGTTAACCACTGTATGTAACCAACCTTTATCTGGCAACATAATTGCAGCACAATAATGATTTGCATGATACCTTGAAATTTGGGGGGAGGGGGCATGCCAAGTTGGGCATCACTTTGTCTTAGCAATTAATGGGATATTGATTACTAAAATTAGTTATTAAGGTGCCGGTTGTACAATCTCTAATTTGATCAGTGTCTTTTCAGCACTTTGAGCATTTTCTTAGCTCATTTAGTCTTCCTTTTGTAGTGCATGGTAGGGAGGAAAAAGTGCATGCATCTTTTCCTTTGCTCCTCTCTTCCCATCCCCCCCTTCGCACTTAAGGTATTTGGTTTGCTTCCATCTTTTTTTACACAGTGCCTGGTTTATGTAACCAATTAATATCCCTTTTGTTGATGAGCTATTGAGAACTGCAGTAGTTTGCTTTTAGTATTGTTGTTGCACGTGAATAGAGGAAAACTTTCATAGTCTACAGGACATATGAAGAGTGCAACTGCAATACAAGAGCAAAAGGCACTTCCTCCCATGATCTTACAGTAACCATATTGACTGACTCCCCAGGGACATTCCTTCATTGCAATAGCTCAGATTTTTGTTTCTGTCCTTTTCTTTGCACACCAGCTCTACTCTTTAGTAAAATTGTAAAAGGCTGCCATTATGGACATTAGGTATCCCAAAATAACCATCTGGAGTGTGTCCAGTTTGTTCTTCTAGGACCAATTTTTATTTGCAGCTTGAGTTTTTATATGAAGTTGCATTATTGTGGACTTGGCTGTCTTGTGATGAATTTTTTTTCATATGTATTCTGTGCCATACACACTATTGTTAAAATGAACTGTTGCTATTGTGAGATGGATTTTAACTGACCTATTAAAGGTTTCTTTCGAATGGCACTACTTTAGGGACATTCTAGTATTTGCTTCTATTGTTTGGGCCTTGTGGATAATGTACAGATTTAAAAACAAATCTTGTTGCTGATTTGTCCATTTCTTTCCCTGCACTTTGTTACATCTGGGATACAGTCTAACTCATCTGATTTAATATGCATTTAAAAAAATGCCATAACTATTAAACACCTTGTTTACAGACAGATGAAATAAATTTATTCCAACCAAATATTCTAGACTCCTGTTGTTTATATGAATTGTTGGCTTAGTTGGTTTTTGACACAATGGGTTTATGCAGATAGGTCAAGTCCTGCTGCAAGCATAAAATCTAAAAATAAAAATTCAGCGGATAACCTAACTATTCTATTTCATGCAGTTTTATTACAAATAAAATGAGTGCCTGGGATTTTCTTTTCAGTGGGCTTTGAGCTATTAAAAACATTTTGGTCATCTCAGGTTTATCGTCAGTCTTATAAGAGCAAAATTGACTTATCTGCTTCAAATGATGTTTTTTCCCTTTTATTGTTGATACCTAGGTGCAAAATTTAGCAAGCAATAAAGGAACCCAATACCAAGGTTTTCTGCACTGTGGATGCTTTTGTGTTGAATTGTCATGATTTCCATACATTTAAGAAGCTGTGTTGGGCTGGCCTAAGTGAGCCAGCAGGGGCTCCCCCTCATAGGCAGCATGTAAGGTAATCCTAGTTTTTGGCTTTGGAGTGACATAGTATCTATGGCTATGTGCTAGTTAAGTTTAATTCCAGAGGTCATAAAACTGAGATACAGTAATGCTTATTAAATACGATAATACTAATTAGATTACCAGGAACTATGAAGCAGCAGCTCATAGTAGGGATGCTCAGAAGTTGAAGTGGTGCTAGTTATAATGTAGTTCCACCCTGCAGATGGAGATTCCATAGCCCAGAAGTCCCTTTAGAAAAAGTGGACAGTTTATCATTTTAAATCGCCTGTTTGCTGCTTTTGAGAAACTGGGTTAGGGACTGAGCTTTGCCTTACTAGAAGTTGGGGAGTTAAAACATTTTTTTTCTTTGACAGTGTTTTCAGGTATCAGTTCTGAATTTATAAAAGTATTAACAATAAAAGATGGGCAGCTACTTTGGTAGTTGTGTATACGTTATATATTATAGAACAACAGAAACCTTAATTTTTTGATCTGTTTGATCCCTATTGCGGCAAAAGGTTAGCAAATGAAAATTTCGTAGTTGTGCTGTGGTGACTTGAGATTTTATGGTAATAAACATTCACACTTTAGTTGTTAAGAATTGTCAGGGTAACTGCTTACAGAAAGTAGTCCCCAAAAATCTGAAACCCTTAATGAATGAACCTGGAATTTGGTGTGAGGGGTGTTTTGGAGGGTGTGGGTAGGGAGTGGAGGAAAGTTAGAAATATAACTAAAATAGTAATGAAATTAGTCATGCCAAGTAATGCTAAGTTGCTTTGTCTTAGCAAGTAAATGGGATACTGATTTCTAAAATAAGTTACTATTAAGCAAGGTTGTATAATTGCTAATTTGATCAGTTGTCTACCCACAATTTCATTACAAAAATGCTGTGAAGATCTATAATGTATCTTTGCTTTGTCCTTGGTTCTAGTAAGTGGAGCTATACAAGATTGTATACCAGAAAAATCTTTTAAGATTTAACTTTTAGGAATGTGGGTGGAATAAATGTTCAGAGATAAAACAGTCATTGAAGAATGACACAAAATGCTCACCAATGAATGTTAAGCCATATAAATATTGCATACAGTGTAAATACCGTAGTATATAATTAATGGATTTTACATATGTGTCTCTGAAGGTAATACAATAAGTTCAGGTAACTAAACTTTACTAATGAAAAATTTTTAACAGGGGAACAGCTTTAACTAGTGCTGCTGCATAAGGCACTACATAAATTTTTTCTTAAATAAAAAACAGTTGGGAGTTGCCAAAAAAAGGGTAATTTCTGCTTCAGAAAAACTTCCAACAAATTTAAAAGAACCAGATCCTTAATCTGAACTGTCAATTAACGGTTGAGGGAATGTAACATCTAATACACTTTACAGTGACCTTTGCCTTTTTAAAGAAAAATTTCAATTATGTTTTTATACTTTAATAATTACAAAAGCACTTACAGTACATGTGTATGCCAGGCACTGAACTCAGATGTTTTGTCCTTACACTTTACTTTAGGTTTTATGAAACTATACAAATGACTATTAGGTTTTAAAAGGTTAGGCTCATTACAAATAAGTCAGATTACAAAGCTTTGTTGGGCTACCATAGTAAAGTGATGCTCTGTTTCTTAGGCTTGTATTTTATTTTTAAAGAATCAAGGGAAGAAAATGAGAGTATCAGATAATCCATAAGTCAACCTTTTATTTTGGATATACCTATTTGGGGATTGATTTTTTTTTTTGGGGGGGGGGCAACAAAGGCTCATATATCTCGTGTGCTTGTTATGCCCCAATATACTTTTGCTCACTTAAAACTTATATCAATGCCGATTTATCTAGGTATTTAGCCTTTCAAGGCTGCACAGCAGTCCAGTGTAAGAATTTACCATAATTATAACAGGGTACTATGATGAACAGTATTACTGGAATGATTTTGGCTGTAGCCTTAACTTTTCAGAGGATTACCTAAATAACTGTGAGCTGTAAATTAACCTTGTATAAAATTCTATGGTTACATTCAATCATACCTTTTAATACAGTGCATATATATAAAGCAAATATAGGTAATAGTACAGTGAAGCAAATATTTGCTAGTTCTAAAGTGGAAAATGTGTTTATTGACATTCAGACTCCCTTCATACAGGACATATAAAAATTCTTAGCATTTTGATTATACATAAGTCTATGTTTTCTACAGTTACAATGACATAATATAGTTTTTCATAATACATTGTTTAAATACATAAGTTCTGTTAAATGTAAGCACTTATTTTCAAATCCAGTACTTGAACAATTTCCTCTGTACATAGTTTAGCAGGGTTAATTAGCACAAGATGATCTTTAGTAAGAGGTATATGATCTGAGTATTAACTGTTGCTGAAGTTTGGTATTTTTATACAGCATTTTCTTTTTGCTTTGATCACAACACAAAACCTTTAAAGGATACTGAAATTCAGTAAGTAAAGTCCAGAGACATTACTTTAGCTAATGAATTAAATTTATGTATAACACTATTAACCTTAAAAAAAAAAACTTGAAATCTATATCAATACAGACTGTTCTATCAGGGTAAGGCTTGGGATAAAAGGAAAAGGTTTCTTTGTGGTGCTGATAGGAGAAAAAATGCTAACTTAATCTTGTTACTCTCACTAATGACAGCAAGTTGGAGAAAAACCAGAACAAACATTCCATCTCACCTACTACTGAGTAACTTTATGGAGATGGGAGTTGGCTTAGATCATGCTAGGTGGCCACAGGACTTGACCTTATGTGTGAAACAGGAAACATTTGCATACTGTGATCTAGGTCTTAGCTGCAAGCTATGCTGAGGAATACTTTTTTAATGTTTTGGCTATATTTCATTCCAGAAGAGTTGGTTTGATGCTTGTGTTACAGCACCAGTATATTATTAGTGAAATGAAGTACGCTCCTGCAGATATATACCAGAGCAAAAAAAAAAAAAAAGCAAAACCTGTTTTAGTAATTGATTAAACTTTAGAATACTGAAAGAAAAAGTTATTTCTACAGAAATCTCTGAAGGGAGCAAAAAATCAAACCATTATATACCTAAATAAAATATTTTAAAGAAAACCAAATCACCCTGAAGGTCAAACAGTATTTGCGATGTTGTAATCCCGTTGACCATTAGGCTGCATTTGGACCACAATACTATGTTCATTAATTTCGTTTTCTGCATCACTACTGTCGCTATCTTCATTGTCATCTTCCTCATAGTCTGAAGATTCTGTCATGTTCTGCTGTGATCGAGATTCCGCCAAAGCCCCAAATGACTGGGTGCTAACAGAAGCCAAAGGTCTAAGTAAAGGGGTGTGTTCTGACACTTCATTTTCTTCTTGACTACTATCTGTGTCAGAGTCTGAATCGCCTTGAGAAGGAACAACTTTTTGCTTGCAGACTGGACAGGTTTTTTTGGTTTTAGTTAGCCAAGGATCTACACACTTGCAATGATAAGCTGTTGAAGCAAAATATTAATTTGTTAGCACACTGTAGTTGAGAACATTCTTTTTAGTCACTTGTCATGTTTGTTCATGTTCTTATGATTCATATACATCATGTAGGGGTAAGAGAACAGTTTGTAAATTTTTATAAATATACTTCCATCCTTTAATGAGACCACTAATTAGTGCAAGGCCTGGTTTAAGTATACTAATAACTGTTTTCTAATAACTGTCTCCTCCAATATTGGACCTAAATATAAATTAATCTGTACATAAATTCAAAACAGTATGTAATTATCCATACCATGGGAACAGGGAAGGATTCTGAGCTTGTCTCCATCTTCATACTCATCCAAACAAATGGCGCATACATCATACTCATCTCCTATGACAAAACAGGTAAGTAAAATTAATTAAAAGATGTAGAGAAATCTCAAATTTCTCAAGGTAGGTCTCATAGTTATTTTAAATGTCTCTTTTTAAGTCATATCTTTTCTGTCAAGCAGTGAGATGCTTTAATCAGAAACTTTTAAGTTTTAAATAATTAACCTTTTACCTAAAATAAGAAACTAAATATGGATAGAGAGGCCTTCTTGGTGGCCTACAGGTTAAGTCTCAGTAGCTATCATTTCAACTGTGCACCACAAGGCCAGAGTTTGGCCCTAGCCAGAGAGCTAGCCCACATACAGCACAGTAGACCTCTCCTGTCTCACCAGATGCTCCCCTCAGCAGTGTATTTCAATAGATCCGCTTGCTGTGTTCCCCACTCTTGTCTCTAGTGATGCCTCTGATTCACCGGGCCTCTGGCCTACACCCCAGTTCTTGTGTGCATAAATAAATAAAAATTTCAAAAATAGCTAAAAATGGATATAAATTTGTTTACGTTGATTACCTTTGCAAAAAAAAATTTACAATTCCATTAGAGTTTTATGTAACTAGGCAAATACTAGCTTTGGGAAACTTATACCAAAACCAGAATTTCACTATTTAGGTTTCTATGTCTCAGGCCATTTTTCAAATAAAATGGAAAGTCTTAAAAAGGTATTGATGACTAAGAATAATGTTCTGTTGAGCTTGGCAAGTCACTTAGCCCTTGACATCCATTCTTTTATGTGTAAAAAGATTGGATGTACCTCTGAGAGTTGTCAGGATGAAATGAGATAATGTGAATTGAACAAAGGGCCATTTGTACCTAGATATTCACTAAATGGTGTTTATTCAAGTTTATTCACAGTTCTTTTTGGAATTCAGTGAGGCTTTAAGTTTTCAAAGAAATTGGCATTCTTATTATGTACAGCAGCTTTTTAGGTTGAGTCAGTAGTGTCTTAGGGACAGGGATTTACAATTTAGTGTTTTTCATTAACTATGTATGTTAGGTAGATCTATATGTGTTACGTACAAAAATCCTAGGTAACAAAAGACAGTTAAATTCATTGCCTATCTCACACATAGGGATGTCAGGAGACATGTCAAAAAAAAAAAGCTATTGTCTGGATAGATAACCAGAACATGACACACAAGAAAGGAATGATATTTTTGTTCATTATCTTTAGTTTGGTTACTACACTATTATGTATCAAATACATTCTATAAAAAAATACAAGGTTCTGTGTTACTAACATGTCAACTAAGATGATTATGTATACATGCCTATAAAGAGTAAGACTCCAATATATAACTCTAATTATATACTTGATGCATTTAATGAAACTATTTACATGAGAATAGTTGTAATACACAAATAACAGATTTCCCAGACAAATAAAACTTGATTTTATTACTTTATAAAAATGCCCATTAAGAACAGATGCAGTTAATATAACTGAACAGGAACAGAGTGCAACAGCCTTCAGTCTTATTTCACTGAAGTAGGAAGGTTAGCCTGTGTTATCCATATGGGCCCTACATATTCAGAAGGGTCCTAAAACTGCAAAAGGTAAATGGAAAGCTGTGTCAGGAAGATGTGACATGGATGACTGGTTAGGAAAATGCAACATTACTGGCTTTACAGATGAAGAGGCGGGTGGGTCACAAGTTAATGTAGCCTCTAGAAGCTGTAAAAGGAAATGAAGTGTATTCTTTCCTAGAAGCTACAGAAGAGAACTCAGCCCTGCCAACATCTTGACTTTTAGCCCATGAGAACTAGATAAGGTTTGTGGTAAGGTTAAAACAGTAGTAAGAAAGAATACAAGGTATTTGGACTGTGATGAAACGAAAAGCACGTTTTAGAAAGTACAGGTGTCTCATTGTGGTTATTTTATTAGCTATGCAACCTTGTACAAGGCACTTACCTCTTACATTTCTGTTTTCTCAAAGGCAAACAAAAATATTAAAACATCTGTGGTTTACAATTCTTGTGTACTAAAATAGATAATGCAAGTAGAGTACATTATGCAATGCTTGGCACACAGGGTGCCTCTTAATCGCCATATGATAAAACTGGCCTAACCGCATACTGGCATATGACATTGCGTGCGGAAAACTATGGCTAGGAGGCTGCACTTTAATACCCCTGTGTGTTTCTGTCTCATCAGATGAACTGTATGTTTACAGAAGAAGTTAGTGGCAATGGTCATTGAAACTTTTTGTTGTACTTAGGTAAAGCTATAACTATGTAATATGTAAAAATATGTAAATATGCTATTTAATTAAATATTAAATAATTTAGATATTCTGCAACCCTTGAACTATAAGTCTCAAAAACTCCTGGTTTGACTGGAATGCAAGGTTAACTGTATTAATAGTTGCCCCCTTGACCCTTCTCTAGAAATCTAAAAGAATGGACATTTTTAATAAAAAGCAAGAATGAAAGCAGAATTCTACTTTTGACCCATTTTATAATACCTAAAGCTAAAAAAATAGTAGAAAATATACCATGTACCAGGAAATTCAACTAGTGAATTCCTGCTCAAGACTGCCGCCCAATATTAAACAATTTTTGAGTGGGTTTATACTTTTAACTTGAAAACAAATTAAAGGAATTTATGTATGATTTACAATTTCAACAGTTTTTTAAAAAAAGTTTTTCTACAATTCAGTTAGCATAAGATAAAGGACTATATAATAAGTGCTAATAGTAGTTATGTTACTGTCAGCTCCATGATACAAGTTTCGCTGCTTAGTATAAAACAGTGGTTCTCAACTGGGGATGACTTTGCCCTGTGGGACATGTAGGGATATCTGAAGACATTTTGGTTTTTACAACTGGGAGTGATGCTGGGGGGAGGGATGCTGATAAATATCCTATAAAGCTCTGTATAGCCCCCCTCAAACAAAGAATTATTCCAGCTAGAATGTCAACAGTGCTGAAGGTATAAAACACCTCCAGGCTTTATCAGAACAAAAATTTTGCTAATTTACTAGTGGATAGGTGTACAAAAAATGCAAGAGGGGTAAGATTCATGTCTGTTATGTGAAACAATACTGCTTCTACCTGGACTATTTCTGGCCTTAGTATTATCTGAGTATTAAGAATTTCATGGAGACACTTTTAATGTCTCATCAATCTGTATTAAAATATATAGATTGACAGAACTTGCATTTTTCCCCTCTAAACCTATTCCTCCTGAGTTTCCCCCCAAAAATCTTAAGTCATGAAGTACAGCAAAAACACCCATCAGAATATGAATCAAACAAGTACTTAAGGAAGCCACTATGGTGGCTCAAACTTGTCACATGTCCTTGATGCCTCTTTCCTTTAGAGCATATTCAATCTGGCAATAAGTCCAATAAACTTTTATCTGTAAAACATTCTAAACCTGCCTTCTTTCCATTTCCTCAAATAGCCTGGTCCAATATCCTGGATTACTGCAAGAGCATCTGCAGTCACCTGCCCCAGGTGTTTTCTTCCTAAGGTTGACCTTTTAAAGAAAATAATCACATGTCAGTCCCATTTTAGTGGATCCCCATCTCACTTAAAATAAAATCTGAGTTCCTTATCATGTCATTCATATAACTGTAGATAACCTGACCCCTGCTGCCTGTTCCCATCTCATCTCACGCCACTCAGTCCCCTTCATTCATACTTCAACAATGGCTATATGTCAATCTTTGAGCAAACAAAAAAACATTTGGACATAAAATTAGGAATAGAATGGGGACTCACCATCTCTAAAGATGACTCAAAAAATGAACTAGTATGAAATAATCTAGTAATAGTGCATACAAACTGATAAATAACATAATTGGTCAATTCCATAACTAACCCAGGCCATAAATCAACCAGATTAAGTAAAAGATAAAAGAGAGAAAGCACTTAAGGCTAATACATACAGATTTCATGAAAAATGACAATGTGCATTTTAGATAATCTGCCCAGGGAAGATTCATGAGTTTCAGGAAAAATTATTCTTGGAGAGAAAGTTTCTTGTCACATTGCCAGTAAAGAAAACAGTGGCAATTCTCTTCAGCAAATTAAAAAAAAATTTTTTTTCCTCTGTTCTTCCATACAAGTTCAAGACATCTGAACAGAAATCAAATAAGATCAAATATTTTTAAAGCCAGATTTGCTTGAGAATCCTTTCTGGTTATTTTTAAGCTCTGATAAAGGAACTAATATATACACTTAAGGTTAAATTGAAAGCAGATATATTTATAAAAATTAAACATGTACTAATAGGTAAAATATATGTATCAATCCATTTTTATGTAATCTATTATAAAATGCTGTATTGCTGAAATAAAATCTCTTCCTATCCAAATTATTTTGGAAGTCTAAATGAGTAAGGTACAAAACAAAAATGCCTGCTCACTTAAAATTTCAAACACAAAACCCATTTATATCATGTGTATATCAGGGATCTGGCTCCTTTACACACTAAAGGGGTAGGAGGAGACAGCTCTCTCAGAGACAGGCTTACATGCTTAGAAAAGGGACTGTTAAATGAATACAAGGATTTTTCATTTGCTGTGAAACACGTTGTGTTTTAACTAACACATCTGGGTACAGACTTAGAGAAATATATTGATATAGGAAACTCAGTAACCACAATTTCAAGTGAAGAGATACTTTTGAGGACAATAATGAGTAATGAATTAATAAGGAAAGTGCTTCAGAAGCAAGAAAATAAGCTATTTTATATGTGCTAGAAATGGCTAAGTCAATATTGAAATCATCTAAGTATTAATCAGCACAAACATTTCTGAAAAAGCTGCAAAGATGATTATCAACAAGATAGGAAGACGTAAGATGATCAAGTTCCCAGAGTGGTATTGACTAACCTTTAAGATACTCTATTTGTGCCAGTGCCTCAAGTTGCTGGTTTCTGTGGGTTCAAGTATAGGCAATGTGCCTATGGAAGATTTACAAATGCCAAATTCTTTTCAGTTCATTGGCAAATATTTCCTAAATGTTAGATTCCCCTAACACTAACATTTCCACTACAT